ATGGCTGGCTGCATGCATCTCTGGGATGGCTGAACACCAAGAGATTACTGAGTAGAAATATGATATACAATTTCCTTGTTCTTACACACTTCCTCAGGCATTTGGTTTTGGCCAGGGCTGAGGACAGGTGATGGTCCGAGCGGCTGGACAATCCACCCGCTGCTGGATGAGTCCCGGGACTAAGCTCATGTGCTCATTCTTACACCCCAATGTCCCAGCCCTTCGTAAAGGGAGCTCCTACTTCTTGCACTCTGCCGTTGAGTGAATTATCAGCAATAGTTAAACAAAATGTAAAATATTACAGACCGAGGCTTAACCAAATCCTGTTTCAGCCTACTGGCTCAAATTGGGCAAAAATGTTTCAGCAGTTTCTAATTTAGCTATTTTAAGGAAAAAAATTATCCACTTTTTTCAGTTCTACCCAAAACTAAATAGCTCCAGATACAGTTTTAGAATAATAGAGGTTTCATGAATTTTTAATGTAGTTCACATATTCAAAATTAAATTTCAAACAAAAAGTTAATGATATTCAACAAAATCAAAACTGCTTATTGATTACCTCAAGTTCTATCCATCAGTTATCAAATTTAATGACTTTGAATTCAATCTGACCAGCAGCACAGATGTCCCCTGGTATACTTAGCTAAGATGTGGAGCAAAAATGATTCAATCTGTGAGAAACACTCTTTTGCCTCTTCCCAGTTCCTATCTATTCCTATCAGAATCAGATGTAAGAAGAAATTCCACCAGAAAAGTTTTTCTCATGAGACTGCCAACTGATTCTGCAGATTCAGCTAAATAACAGACTTCTGTGCGCTCCTCTGAACAGATCCTCCTAATCACTCTTTACAGGATATGAGAACAAAATTAGAAAAGGGGCGGGGGACGCGACTAAAGTAACACAGAAACTTCACAGATCTGTATGTGCCATTTAATACCTTGTGAGCAGCCAAGTATTTATTTTCATCTTTTAGGTGGAAATTTTAAGATGCTGAATCTTGAAATGGATTATAATTGTGCCAACTGAAATTTCATTCAAATAGACTTGGCAATCAATTCCACCACTTATAATCCATAAGAAATGCTTTGGCTGCAGTGTAGCACAAAGGACATAGTTACTTGGAAACATGCTTTAAGTTTCAGGAATGAAAGGCAAATTTTAACATTTTAAGAAACTACTGCATTGTTTAGATTGAAGGTGAGAATTTTGCCTCCTGTCTTTATTCTAAGAAATGCAGCAGTTTCCTTAAAATGCTGAAAATTGCCTTGCATTACCAAAATTGAAAGCATGTTTATGCGATTTTAGCTAGGTGAGATTATCATCAAGGTAGATGGTCTCCACATACTGCTGGAGGCTCAGGGTCATGCTAACTGATGTTCCTTTGTTTTTGGAAGTGTAGTGAGAGAAAAATCAAGCCCCTCTGAGGTTTGGGTTCTAACCCATCTTTATATCATTTTTAATACTAATTTTCCTGTGGCTTAAATCAATCCTCCCACTATTCACAAGAGGCTACTGGGATCTGTCCTGTGAACCCCCTCCTTTTCCCCTAGCATACTTCTTCATGATGATCTCATTACCCACTCATACATCTTCACATTCCATCTGTAGGCCGATAACTCATAAATCTGCCCCTTCTTTCATGGCTTGTCTCATTTCATTTCATCCTGTCTCATGTCTCTTCTTGGGTGTTTTGTTGTCAGTTATGAGTCATTATAACTCAGGCTTAATTCACATCTGAAACCCTCTTCCCTCCCCACATTACTGTTCAATATATGCTACTTAGGCCCAATGAATGCCCTGCCTCAAGAAAAAAAAGAAAAGGAAAAAAAAAAATCAATTCCTGTTTCTGAACACTATCAAGGAAACCAAACTTTTAGACCACAAGTTCAGGAAATTCCAACATGAAGGCTGTCAACTAAATCATCATCCTGTCTTAATTTTTTATTTTCTTCTTCCTAAGTGTCTTTATTGCATTTAGATTTTATAGCTGACATTCAACTAACCACTGCTACCTAGTCTTCATTTTGCGGTAGGAGCTGCATAACAGGAGCAAAGCTGTCATTCTAAAACAAAGGCACCCAACCATCATCATCAGCTTAACAGCACCCAGACATGACTGTCACCACTCAATGCAGAATCAATGTTCAAAAAAAAGTAACCAATACTCCTGCAGTTTCTGAAACCATTGCCTTGGTTACAAGATGCAGCAAACAAGAATGGAAGAAGTGGTTAACACAAATAACTGGAATAATCCTTTATCACATTCTCTGTTAGTATTTTGATACTAATTGTTCCTATACTCAATGCAGAGTGTTTTGGAATGAGAGGGACTAGGGTTTTGAGATTTTCATGTAGTCTTCCAGTTAGGAAAAGTACCTTTTAAAATGCCATCACCTTCTAGAAAGACTGACTGTGATAATATACCGATTTCAGGTTTTTCAAGTCCCCAAATTACACAAAATTTGTGAAGTAGAAGTACTCCTGTGAAAGATGAAACTAATTAAAATCTGTATCTCTCGGACACAGCAATACTTGTAAGTAACTTTGTTATATTATAACTGTAGTTTATTTATAAACTAGTGTATCAGGATAGTGGTAGAAGCATGAAAAATTTATAAGTATTAAGTGCAATTTTTTCCCCAGAGAAGGAAAAAATCTTCCTTTCTGAAGTAGCTCATTATTTGTAGTTACTCAGATCATATAAAGTTTGAAATTTCTAAGAGGAAAATCTGACTTTTACATTTTTCTTATTTTGAGGGAATTAGAAGTAGTGAAACGATCACAACCTGAAACTCTAAGTTAAGCTATTTTCTCCATAGCTATGAGTTTTTAGAACATTAAGTAAGGTCAATAATTCATATCTAAAATATTGGATGTTTGATTTGACCGCCACCTTTGGGTACAAAATTAGTGCTTAATTTCAGGTACAGAATGTTCCCAGGCACTACTCTTCCTATATATTGTCACTAAAATTTGTGTAAGGCTCATTTCTCCTGTCTTAGAGTGTTAACTGTTCTGAAGAAACTGCATAACTGAGTAGTTAGACACTTTTTAATCTCAAGTGTACTTATTTTCAAAAGGCTTAAAAGTTAAAATTATTTAGATACAATTAATCTTCTTACAGGAAAATAGTACCACTCTTCAAAGTTGAAGCGAAACCTTTCCTAAATCTGTATTAGGAGATTCTGACAGCAGTTTCCTGTTCTTACAGACAAAAACGTAGCTCCAAAGAGAGACTGAGGATGTTTCTGAAGGCCAATGATCTGACTCAAGGTTCAAAAACACTTGAAAGAAAACCAAGTCTTCACCACTGACTTCATTTTGCAATGCCACTGCTAGCAACTACTTGCATGGGAAGGGCAATGTTACAAAAAACTAGCCAGTGAAGATAAAATACTGAAATGAAAAGTACTAATAATGCTACACCATCATTCACTGGTCCCATGTGTTACATTTGTATTATGTGTAACAAAACCTGGTGCTCTGGGATTTAATACCAATTTTGCATATGAGTTATCTGATGTTCACTCAGATGAAGGAAACTGCATGAAGTCAAAGAAGCAGTTTCAAACACTGAAAGAGTACATCAATACTGTCTATGAACACACTGCCAAAACCACGGGAATGCACACATAATAAAATACGAACTTGAATAAATATCTGGAAGCTGATACTGTGTGTAGTTCAGGAATTAAAATAATATTCAGAGTGACTTTGCTGTTTATTTATATTTGCTTTTCAGACAGTCAAATACGGTATAACATTTAACAAGAGTCATTTTTCACATATTAGTGACATAACCGTTAAATATATACCCTTAGGAGATACCTCTGCTTTTGTGGCTTTGTTTAAAATCTTAATTATAAATAATAGTTTGCAATGTTAATTATAACATTTTAATGATTGTAACAAGGTAGCATAATATTTTAATAACTATACAAATAAAATGCTTTCTCTGAATGTGTTTTGTATTGATGCATTCTACAAACACAACTCTTACCTTTACATCTGTTAGCAATCTCATTTGCTTCACTGAATTAATCAACTATAAAGGGACCTAGCCATGTACAGTCAATATCACTACACTATTATCATAATACAGAAATGTATATAATTACTTGTTGCTATTAAGTTATCAGTTTGCACATCTATAACATGTCTGTCATCACCTGCTCACAAGGAGCTTTGAAAAGTAATCACACAATTGTTCTCCCCGATTCAGAGACACGTAACATAGACTAAACAGACACATACTACTTTTCCCTGCATGTACTTGTAAAACAAAAATCTATTTACCTATAATATAGAAATTTACAACCTTCCTCTAGATTGCCCTTGCTATCCAACTAGAAAGTCCCATTTCTGCACTGGGAAGAACTGCAAATGCCTTATTTCCTTTCAACTGTATACAGACATACGCACTATTTAAATCTCACTAAAATCCTTGAGGCCTGGCAAGAGGTACACAGGACCTTCTGTCACCTCTGGGAACCAAAATGAATTTCACCCTCACTGTAAGCCTAACCCAGGGCTTACACAGTTGCCAGGATCTAATTCCTGAGGTCACTGGGAGTTTCATAGTGCCTGAGCCCATCAGTAGAGGACAGCCTGTCCACTTTGCTCCACTGAATGTCAGAAAAGAAACCACCTTCTCCACCATTCCTCAGATGGCCATCAATGGTCTGGGCAGAACAGATGTTAAAATCTGACTTAGCTAACACATGTGGTGGAACACCCAGAAGCATCAGTGTGTTTTGAACTGTGAGATGCAACTCTGACACACTACCTTTTCAACTCTAGCTTCATCTTTAAGTTGCATGGTGACATTCTGACTAAACAGGTTTAATCCTTCTTGTGAATTTTTCATTTATTTTATTTAGTTTTCTCACCACTTTGTGTAAGTTAACAAGAACAAAGAACACTTCCTTCAAGTGCATGAACTGCCGAGTACCCCACGTTGTGCACCAATCACTGATATATGTAACAAAAGCATGAATACCTGAACGCCTTGCAGATTAGTCTTGAATGTCTTCTCTTTGTGTGTTTTGAGTTAATTTTGCCAGATTACTGCTTCATCTTTTTAGGGGCGGCCTGAGACAGATATGCTGTAACAGCAGAAGGAAAAGCTATCTCAGTATGAATTTAGTCAGAAACTGCAGAATAAACACAGCAAAAGCCAAAACATCATAAAATAAACATTTAAGTACTGTTACCCCCTACAGTCTGTTTTACTGATGAATGTGACATATCATGCAGAGCAGATAAACAAGAAACAGTAAACAAACCATGTCATTTCATAGAAAAAGATGGAAAATATTTGCACTGTTCCTTTAAGCAGTGGTTTTGAACTTTCTGAACTGAGCCACGCTTAAGACTACTGGCAGTGCTCGATGCTTTGCTGGATTTAGTGGCTTTGCCAACCCTTCTCCCTATCCCCTTCTTCAGTTGAACCAGAAAAAGCACTTCAGCTTGAGTACAACATGTCTGTTACAATATACAGACACCTCACTGGCTTGGGACTACTCACCCAGAATACACACATTAGAGCAAAACTACACTCAAAACCTAATGAAAACTTTCCCTCTGTTGGTTACTCAGGAATTGGGAGAATGAGAAAGAAACCATTTGTTGTACACTGAGGCCAAATCATCTGCCACATAAACTGGCATAAGCTTGCATTGAGAAGAGTGATGCTGTGCCAGTTCATACAAGCAGAGAATTTGGTCATTGCATGTGTAAAAATTTCTGTGAAATATTTTTGAATTCATCAGAATAAACCCCAGAGAATCCTTTTCTCTCCAAGCCAGTAAGCAAATGTTTGTTCTATTTTTGTGAGTCAGTTCACTGATATTAACATAACGATCAATCAACACACACACACAAATATCGCAAGTTCACATAGATCTGGATGAGAACTGAAATGTTACAGAATGTCCAAAGTACACCTCAGTTGTTCTTATTTTCCTTGATTCTGCTTATCTTTCAAAAACCCAAACCAAAACCTGCCTTTCCCTCTAACATCCTTAGACTTCGAGCCACTGTGACCCTTTCCCTGGCTGAAGCAATTTGGATATGGCCTCCTCAAAAGAAAATTCTGAACATCAAATAAAATGCTTCTCACTGCTTCTTCCAAATCCTGCTAGCCTGTGGTACAGAGTACACAGCAGACATACCTGCTCCAGGACTGAAACACTCTCTCACTGGAGGTCACCTGGATAGTTCAGTCATAGAATGCGTATCGTAACTGCTTTGAGTCCGGTTGCTTCAATTTACCTACATCAGCAGTTATTGCTGACATGTCTCAATTTAAGGTTCACGTTTATCTTAAAAAGTAACAATCTGTATGACCTGAGTTTTAACACTCCTTGTTCCCGTATCTACTGCTAGCGACTGCATTGTAGGAAAAAAAAAAAAACCAAAAAAAAACCAAACCAACAAATGTATTCTGAATTGCAACTAGTAGTTGTGTACAATACTTAGTTTCTTCTACCTTCAAGAAACATCTGGGTGAAAGTTAGCAGTCATCAACAATAAGCAATGCCACCAACAAGACACTATTATTGGCCCATAACAGGCTCAAGTTCAAGTCTCCACTACCCACTGCTTCTTCAGGTCTCTACTCCTTATCATTAGATACTGATTACAGCACATTGTAGACTGATCTGTTACGTGGTCAAAGGTCACACAGCAGCTTACAGGTCTCATTCAAATCCAGTTCCAGTAGCAGAGACTGACATGTTAGTTCCCAGTTTCGAATGCTTCTGCCTGGTAAGTTTTGCCTTTCTGGTAACATCAGAATCTACACATACATTTCAAATTTGTTCTAAAATGCATTTACTGTGCATGTAAAGTACATTCCATAAAGGTATTCTTTCATTAAATATCACTGTGCTTGGATCTCTCATGAATATTGATGCAAGCCTGAAATTTTCAAAACTTAGGGCAATGTGATTTGAGAAGATGCAATCTTCCCTAACAGCAATTTCTGAGTATTTTGGGTGCCTTTGAAGATTCCTGCAGCTGACCCCCCAAAATCACTAAATATTTTCCAATCTTAAGTCAAGCTATAGTGTGAAAAGTGATGGAGTGGCCACTATTTGGAAGAGCTCAGATCATTTACACATCAGTAACATCCCATGGAGTTCAAAACCCTGTCCTTTCCTGGTAGCCAAATTCTGCTATTATCAGCAAGTGCATAATCTCACTAAAGTAAACTGTAAGGATAGAGTAGAAATGGATAGATAAAGAAAACTCTGTGAACTGAGTAACTACAGGGAGTCTAAAGCCAAAGATCTAATAATTAGTCTTATCTCTATCAAGGTGCAACAGAATAAGCTGCAAGTGCAAAAATGCCTGACAAGGCCCTACGGCTCTTCACGGCTGCAGAGAAGCTTCATTGTTCTAGAGAATTTTAAGGACAATCTCACATGGAGAGAACATGAGAAATTTTTTCCTGCCATGCTGCTGATGCGGGTATCTGGAAGGTACATTTATCTATGCACTCTTCCCTTCATGCAAGCCACAGTGATGCCGAAGGTTCGCTGCTGGGCTCCCCTTTACACGGCTGCTCAGGCACAGTGAGCAGTAGGTACACAAAGAACAGCCTCTGGGGCAGCCAAACTTCTGCTGTCTAGTGGCAGGGAAGCCCAAAGGAAAACTCACTTTAAAGAGAGAGATGGCTTCCTTGAAGTTCTGACATTTCATCTCTGCTTTGTACAAGACTTATTCAGGATACTTTAGTTCATTAATGCAAATATTTAGAGATTACTTTAGTTCATTCATGCAAATGTTTAGAGACTTACTGGTGACTACTATACATTCAAACAGTAGCTGACACTTCACCTTTCAAATTAAAGGAAACACCCAGGAAAAGAAGGTGGTCCTTCCTTCCCTGTGCCCTAATACAAACTCAAACAAAATACTAGCAGGTAGGAATGCAGTCACACACTTCACATCTTTCTGTGGATGATGTCTAAGTGCCTGACAGGTTTATGGGACTCTTTCTCCAAAACCAGAGCAGTTTTTCTCCAAAACGTGCAAATCATATGGCAACAAATTGATGGGAACCATGTATCTCTATCTGTAAAATTTACATTTCATTGTCCTTCTATTTTAAGACATGGTGGTAACTAGAGTAGACTGGATATGATTGCTTCTTCCTAATATTCGGTTGCTCCCCTTTCCCGTCAATGTTTTGCTGAATAAGCAGGGCAAATGCCTTTACAGTGAGTCCTAACTGCAATGTCCTATGCAGCCATTAGGCTCATTTTCTACAGATAGCAAATTCTTGTTTTACCGGTCCTCCCTTCAACTGTGGAGGAACAGGGATGTTGCAGCAGTCCTCATTACAGCTATTTCCTGTGACCAACCACTTCCATATTCTCTGAAGAAAATCATCAAAGAATTAGTTATACTAAAACCAAAATGGAATGTATGCATTTCACATTTGCATGTTACTATGGACTCACAGATTTCTTCTACTCTGTCAGAAACTCCATCGTGGGTCTTTTACAAATTCCCACTGAAAGCAAGTGGCATTTTGCCACTGGCTTCAAGGAGAGCTGGAATGACTTTTGTGTTCACAATATCCTTTTTCCTTGGGCAGCACAAAATACTGCACTTGGGATATAAAAATTTGTTTGAGTATAAAAAAGGACCCAAAGCTTCTATTTTGAATGCCCCAGCCCTTTCAATGCCTACAGCCCTCCAGTCAGCTGCACTACTTTTACAGAACAGCAGTGGAAGAGAAACTGGAAAAAACACCGTAACTGAAATATAAGCAAATGACCTAATCTGTAGCTAGTCTGATTCCACTGCCAGAGAAGTCCAAGACAAGTTTCATCTTCAAAGAAAGCCGCAGAAGATCTTTACTCAGTGTAATAAAGCGTGATCAGTTTGCAATTTCGTATAGTTAAACATGTTGACCATAGTTGGGTCAAGTGAGTGGTTATGCCACATGACTTTTTTTTTCAAGTTTCCTAATGCTCTCACAAGGTCCAGAGCCTTCTTTTTGCATTTTATGAGAGACAAAAAAGAAACCGGGTCAGAGGGGAAGTAAATGAGGGGGTCTGGGTTACCCTACACCTTCCTTTCTCAAGCAGATGACAAATTTCATCATTCTTACTTCATGATTAAGTTTTATTACCTGAGATATTGTTGAGGCTTTCAAGTCTAACTTAATTCACCCCATTTAATTCAACTTACAGAGCAAAAGCAGACCTTTACTCATATAGCCTGGCAGGCTGAAGCACACAGACAAAAATGGATACCTTTTTTTGTTTCATGATTTGTACACACACACCCCCTTTGCAGCCTCTAGTGCACATCTAGCAATTCTGAAAATCCAACAGCTGCATGGTAACACTGATATTTATACTAGACTGGAGGATGAAATCTACAAGGAGTACCATTTAGATAAAAATTCTGACCCTTAAAGTGACTATCATACTTCATAGATCTGTTCTCTGCCAAATGCAACCAGTCCAAGTCTGCCATCATGTGTCCCATCTGCCTTTCCAGCGATCCTGTACCGGCAACCTCACGCAGATAAATCACCCGAGGAGCCCGTTCCAGGAAGGGTCTCTAACACTGCATGTGGAGAGGACAGATGGGATTTGCAGCAAGGCACAGCTTGATCATCCTGAGAAAATGCCACTCCTTAGCCAGCCCCTTGCCTCTAACACAACATATAGAAAGGACCTAAATGTAGCCATTTCTCCCCAGTCCATAAACCAGAGCAACAGTACTGCTCTACCTCACAGGGTACTTCCAGTGGCTTGCAATGAGTAAGGCTTTAAAGGCTGTGAAAAACTCAAATGCTACATGAACAAGATCCAAGAGCCACAGGCACAGCCTTTATTAGTGCTGAATGCAATTATGATCATGATTTGAAAAAGCCAATCTTAACATTTAGAATCTGACTGAAGGGATTTGGACTTGACTGGAGAGTTTAAGTCAGATGTACCTTACAATAACCCAATCTAGTTCAATGAGACTGTCTTGATCAAATCCATACTGCTATTTTTATTTCCACAGTGGAACTGCACTACCAAAAATACTGATTTGAGATGGCCACAAAGAAAACATCCTAGCAAAAATTATTCAG